ACGATTGTAACAGGCCTAATATGGCTTTTAAACATTCAAAATTTCAACCAAATATAATCTCCTACTGAATGTCTGTACACATTTTGAATACTATCCTCCATCTTCTTAACACTGATTTCATCATGTAGCTTATGTGACACATGAAATGCACTGCAATGCATTTCCACGTCAGGCTGCTGCCCAGTAAAAATCACTTCTTATTTACATAAGGTTCAGAAATTCTTTGCTGCTCCACTCTGCTGCCAGTCCCACAATTCTCCATGCAAGACAACGAGAGGCAGAATGAAAAACACTTCACTCTGTTAAAATGCAAATGTATTACAGTATAAGAGGAGCCTGTTCATTATCCCCTATTTTCACAAAGGCTTCTGGAAGGAAATCAAAGTAAGTACATCAAATGCCCCTGCACTACATTGCCTGTGTGAACTGACTGATCACAGTGTACTCAATCACACTGTCCATCATGCAAATCAGTTTCTTCTCACCTCTAGCTGAGCCTGCATGAGCCTGTACTGGGTAAAGCGACCCTCTGACCCTGATCTGGGTATAGTAAGTGAACATTAGCTTCCTGAGGGTCAGTCCAGCCACACATGCAGAAGAGCTAATGGAGTTAGCGGGGCACCACCGGGCATCGGCACTGCTGAGTGAGTGGGCAGAAGTTTGAGTCAGCCAACTGCTGAGTACAGGAAATAAAGGAGCAACCAACTGAGATGCTGACACAGGGCAGACATTTGCCTTTGTCTTATGCAAACTGCTGATGGTATTTGCTATAGATCAAAACGGACTGTTCATAAGCACAAATTACACAACTTGTGAAGACAAAACATGAAAATAAACAACGAAATACAAGTGACATCTGTTTTGAAGCACCCCACAAACAAGGTGAACATGCAAACACCTATAGTACCAGTGTGCTCTGTATTGAGCTTAATATCCTATTATAATGGGGATTGTTCCACTTCTTAAATCTGATTAGCTGAGCCAACTGTTGCCAAATACTTCACATACACACACATATGACCACACACACACACACACCATCTGAATTCTGTATATTATAGACGTTGTACAAGGGGTGGTCAATATGACAATATTTGTTGTTGTAAGTCCTTTTAACTGGATTTAATGCAGTGCAATATATGAAATGTCAAATTAAATTTAAAAGCTTCTAAAAGCTTTTTTTAATGTGATACTACTGCTACTTATTTGGCTGTACCAACTTCAAACCTCACAACAATGAAATATCATGATGTGTCTTTAAGTACAATGATGTTACATTTTAGCCATCCTGTCCACTCTTATGCAAAGTTGTTAAAAATATTTTGCTGCTCATAACATAATCTTTCACTGCGTTTCTTGGTAACCACAGTTTGCTGTTAAACTACACTGATGGTAGAAAAACTGTTCATTGTGATTATCATAAAACTTAATAATGAAGTAATTATTTGTTGAACATTAGTGTATTTTATGAAAATTTGCCACCAGTTATTAAAACATAAGCCATGCCAGACCTTGCATTACAGTTAAATCGGAAAGTCATAATATCGGCCAATACCGACGGTTTTATCAATATCTGCAAAAATACTGTCAATAATTAGTGACATTTTTGCTCCCAGCATCACTAGGATTCAAACAGGTGATCAAGAAAATCAACCAAACTTCTGCATATGACTGTAAATATACCCAAACTTCATCTTTAGCATGAGAATACCACAATATAATGACATGTAAAACACAAAAAATACATTGTCTATGAAGAGAATTGATGAATAACAGGACACATAAGAGTTAATTAACAAAAAACAAAACCTGAACAGACTTCTGGACAGACATGATCCCCCTGTGCGACAATATTTTCATTTGAGCTGTTTAAGTTTAAGAAACTTTAATGTGACCATAGAGAAGAGACAGTCATTTAACAATAAACAGCTGGCATGTGACAATCATAAACAAACATAAAAGTGAGAAACAATTATATAATTTTATCAGCCAATATTATCAGATATATTACTGGATTTTTTTAGCCTCTAAAAATCAACACTGTTATCGGTCGGAAAATGTTCATATTGCTTAAAAACACCACTCAAAAGCGCTGTAATGCACGGCATCTCATGCCTTATTGTTTTATTAAACAATACAACTATATTATTATATGACACTAATATACTTTTACAATCTCTAACTACACTATGAGCAACCATAACCATCGTTTAAGCTAGACTGTTTGCAATATGCAATGCAAGATTGAAACAAGTCCCTAAAAAACATTTAATGCATGCTGTTAGCATTCTGACCAAGTCTCAGATCCACATTAGTTTCTGTGTGTGTTTTGTTGAATCAAGGTATTTTTACTACCCAACAAAATACAAATTACTTTGGTCAAAATAATACAGAACTATCTTCAATGAGGTCACATCCAGGTTTCAGCAATGTGATTATATTGCTATATATCACAATCACAACGTATAACACCATAATCACAGTATGGTATTTTGTCCATACCATGCAGCTCAAATACAATGCTGATGCTGTGTGACCATTCACCTTGAAACAGACCCGTCAATCAAAATGGACCACAACAGTTTACAAAACAGACACGACCCCTGAAATGACCTCGAAATTGGACACGCAGTAAATATAGGCCAGCCTATCTATATAAGATCTGCTGAGCAGGACAATGCAAAGCTGGGTCCAATCCAGACTGTGGTAGAAGAAAAAGTTGAGAAAAACTAGGCCTGAGCTTAACCTCTGGAATGGCCAGGGCCCAACGGCAGGCCCAAAGTTTTATTACACACTTCTATAACCTAAGAATAGCTCAGACGGTTTGCTCTAAAGTCCCTGTAGTAACTGAATAATAAGCCTTCGTATGTAACATGCCTGTGATTTTAAGGGGTTAACTACTAACCCTAACCAGAAAACAAAATGTGATCAGCATATATGCTCGTCTTCAGTCTGGTCATTGCTAACACTGTCCATTACCATGTAGCTTCATAACCCACTGTGACTTTTGCAGCATTACACCCTAAACTATAAAGCAGCTCAAGCAGTAGTTATAGAACGAGGCCTTATTCAGAGCTGTATAGAGAGCTGGTGATGTCTGACTAGGCTCGGCCTGTGAACAAACGCTACACATGGGTTAAACCTGCTTAAAGTCTTACACTCCATCCTAATCACTAAATCACTTCTGACTCCACTCTCAGTAGTGTCCACTGCCCAGAAAGGCCAAGTTCACATTCGCATGCTTATAAAACTTGATGTTTTCCAGCAGCAATATTTTACTTACAGACCTGTTATGGAATGTAGAGTCTACTTTGGGGTGCATCTAAACAATACTTGCTAATAATCCTCCTAAATGAATTAATCAATAAATTTCATATGTTCTACTGACTGTAATATTTGTATTACTTTTATCCATACTCCATAAGTCAAAGTAGTTACCATGTGCAGTTGGATGGGCTTCAGACAAAGAATACTTCAAGATTTCAAGTGTAAAGTGCGGAATCCACACTTCTCCAGACATATTCTACCTGCTATATTGTACATACCATATTCACTGCTTTGTATGTCTATGTCCTACACTACTGTCCCTACCAGATATACTCTTCTGAACATGGTATACACACTATACTGTAGTCATATGCACTATACTGTACATGACATGCACACTGTACTGTATATATCACACACATTTCACTGTAATTACATGCACACTCATGTTACTTTATGTCTTAGGTTCTACTAAATTATACGAGAGGGATTTCTGTTCCTATTAACAGGGGGAGTCCACCAATCTTTCAGATTCCTGCAAAATGAAATAGTTAAAATGTGAACTAAGTCATTCAGAGTGGCCTAATGCAAAAAGCTCAATTTTAGAGAAAACTGCTGAGTCTTAATAGCTCACAGTGTTGGTGAATTGAACCAGACGTGTGAAACGTTTAATGCTTTTAAAAGCTACATGACAGAAAGATGTTACATCAAATATTACAGGAAATGGCAATGAATATATTGCCTGATGCCTGAGACATTTTTATAAGATATGGGTTTGGCCTAAAATGTATTTTTTGGATGCATTCGTGGCAGATGTAAGGCAAAATAGTCCCCAAAACAACAACTAATTTCTGACTTATCACCATTTTTACTTACTGTAATCAACGCAACAATAAAAAACTCAGAGAAAACACGCAGGCTTGCTGATGGTGTGAGATGTCTGTGTGGTAGACACTATAACTCCTGCTTCCCATCAGGAACACTATAAAAAAACCAAGTCTGTAAGCTTCCCTACAATGGACCATTTCACATTTAAGCACACTGAATGACTTACATCTCTTCCGAAGAAATTTTGAAAAATTGGTGGAACTCTCCTTTATGTTGTTTCAACTGTGGTACCCAAGATACAACCGCAGCCAGATCACGCAGAAATTCTGACCACATCACTATAAAACAAAGTAAAAAATGCTTATAGGAAAAAAACACAGGGACAGCTTATATTCAGGACAATACTGTATGTGTTTAAACTACTGCTGGACTGGCTTAGTATAGCAAAACAAGCCTTACTGACATTTATAATGAATAAAAATGTAATAAAACAGACACCACTCTGGCTGCCATCCACTGTACACAACATAACAGTGTCAAATCTTCACCCAGCGCCTCGTTCAGGCAGGCAGCCCAAACCGAACAGCACGAAAAACTGTAACACGCTGCCATGCGAGTCCACATTTCACCACCCACTTTCCTCTATAACATCCAAAACGAAGCTCCAACCGAAGACAAACACGGCTGTTTACAATAAACGCCATCAAGCAAAATACAACCACATTTCAGGCGAATCTTATCCTGTCAGAATATTCAGCCTACAGCTACAACCGCTGTGCTAGCGTAGCTTATGCTAACTCCACGTTTGTACGAAAACCACATACAGCGACGCTGCCACTGGATACGGTTTTCACACACACTGAACACAGCATGAAACCTCCTTGTAAAACAAACATGGACATTACCGAATATGCCGTGTCCTTTTCGCGGCTGTGACAGCCGCTGTTCCCCGGCGCCGGAGCTGCTGAGAGCGGTTAGGCACAGCTTTGAGTCCGCGCTGGATTCTGAGAAGTGGTATCTTCTCCTCCTACCCGTATTCAGGCAAGCCCCGCCCATCATCGCTGGGATTGGCTTGATGGACAAAGGAGAACCGCTTGTAAGTATGATTTACTAGCCAATCCTAGCACAGGAGGGCGGGACTTTCCTGAAAATAGGTGGGAAAAAAACATGCATCTGAGATGTAGCGTTGCCACTACGGCCAATAGAAAGAGCTAAAAAGAAAGTTTTTGGAGATAGACCAGCAAGAGCAAAAGAGAATAAAGGATGGCAATGTAAAAGATTAGCTAAATAAAGTGAATTGAGGGAAAGTTATTCATGAATGCTTAAAAATGCCTTTGTGATCTCAAATTCCATCTCTCTGCCACTTAAATCTCACACACGCTTACTTTAATTAAGAATATTTAGTGCAGCCTTGTGGTGGGATTTGAGGGCTTTGCCTTCTGTTTTACTGTGGGATCCATAAACATTCTTTCCTGGGCAACTTTACCCTTAATGTTCAGACCATCTAACTGCCCTTGCTATTCTCTGTTACTGTATACATACATATATATATATCCCACTAATGAAAGACTACTTCTGTGGTATTCACTTAAGTTTGGTCAGGCTTTGGAATCCTTTCCAAGTTTACCACCGTAACAGACTCAAACATGCTACACACATGATGCTAAAAACAAATGTAAACATACTGGGTGGAGATGCCCAGAAGGTTGGTGGCTATAGACTCCAAATTTCACTCATTAGATCAATGCACAGTACAGTCTTTAGAAAAGTCTTTAGTAATTATGGTCACTATTTTCGTGGGTTTAACATGCTGAAGTGAAACCCCTGAGTGTTGCAATATGCCAGAGCAAGTTCTGAAAACTCAGCTCAGCTGTTTTATGATGTGTTGTAGATCACGCTCTTCACCAATTTTTAGCGGAAGCCCACTCTCACAAAGAAACACTGAGTTATCAGTTTTTATTAAAAGCTGGATAAGTGGAAGTAAGCTTGACGCCGCTTCACACATTTTACATTTTATGTTTTGTTATATATAGTTTGTTACTGTGATTCTTGTGAGGCAAACTTTCAGAAAGTCCTGTGTCACTGTGTTTTCTTTCATATCTGAATCTGAAAGAGATGCTTCAAAAAGAATGGATCAAAACAAAAGCCTTGCAAACACTGAAAACTTCTAAAATGTTAACAGATTACAAAAAGACTGGATTATCTCACTATTCTCTCGATTTTTTTGAGAAAACTTTGGGACCACACACAAACAAACACAGCTGAGTCTCAAAATTCAAAACCTTTAAGATACTCAACTTAAAAATTCAGTTTTCAATATCTAACCAGTCAGTTTTAGCATCCATGAGCAAATAAGCACGCTTGTTCCAAAATCTAGACAGCTGATTGGCTGTCTACTAGTCTGCGATCTGTTATAGTTAGTAAATATGCTCACTTCCATCACCTCACACTTTCATTTCTAGTTTAAACCACACCCACTTTGTCACTTAAAGGAATATATTGGAAAAAGTATCATTCAGGAATCAATATCAAAATCAAGGTATCGATATTGGTTTCAGTATTGAACTACCCTGTACTACCCAACACACCAAGCTGGCACAAAAACAACAAAAGCAAAAGAAAAATGTCACTTTTTTGCACTCAAGATTCACTGGCTTCTGAAGGGATTCATTCAGATTTAAGTCTGTGACCAGCGTTTACTACAAGATTATATTGAGATTCAAGCTAGAGACAAGTTGAAATACTCAAAATTTCCTAAGACTAAACCAGGAACAAAAAGTTAGAGAATGAGGCCCTTATACGCGTCCACTTAATTTCCACTCAAACTGCCTCAAAAACTAGATTAAAACGCCAGACTCAGCCTGATTGTGAATTGAGGGAACAATCAGGGGAGAAATTTGTGCAATTAACTCTGTTAATAATTGTGTATTACAGCTGAGAATTATTTATCAAGGATAAAGATGTTCCAGAAAGCAAAATTACTGCATCTAATTTTCAACCAAATATCAAATCTGTAGCATTTACCGCAAACAGTAACTTCTGCACATTTCACTGTACCTAGTAAAAGAACAGAAAAGGTACTTCAGTATCTGCTCAGAGGCTTCTGCTCTATATAAGCCTTTTCTGTTCACAGAAATTGTTCTTTGGTAATCAGCAGTATGCTACAGATGTGGCAAACAGAGGTTAGGTGGAGAATTCCTTCAAAGAAATCTCAGTGGAGTTCACTCACAGGCTGCTATATTAGGCTCCAAAGGCTGCACCATGAAGAACATGGCTTTAGACAGAAGCTCAGCTTCCAAGTTCAAGTCTGCTTGGCCGCAGAGTTCATTAGGGAAAGTCCCAGTATCTGTTTTAGCTCAACTGCACCATGTCAAAACAGCCCAGTAAGCACTACAATTCACATGCAGCCCAGTGTAACTACAAGTTACAGAACATAACTGTTATTCTGAGTGAGAGAAGCGGGGTGAGCTGGTAAAGACATCATGGCCAGCCTGTACCTACAATCTCTGAGGGAAGATCTACACAGTGGCAGGACGGAGAGGCTTGCTTCAAGTACGTTTGCAACAATGCACATATTTTCAATGTGATTTTCAATATGAGCTCAATATTAGATTCAACTTTTGATATTTTAAGATATTAACTATTAAAGATGTGGGAATTGTGGGCTGATGCCAACATCTGATATTTTTCATGTACATTTCTATCAATGTCAATACATAATTAAAAAAAAATATATAGCATTTGAGACTATATCTACCTAGACTAACATTACCGAGAACAAGATATAAAATATATTTCTGCAGGGTTACAAATGCAGTAAAATAAATAAAGTGCAGACATTTTAGTCTAACACTCCAGTGTTGGAGTCAACACTTTGCTCTTTCAGCGTGCAATGGATAGGTCATCAAACATCAGTTTAAAATATTAGTCAGATCAAAAAAATTCGAAACAATTGTTTATAATGGAGGTCTTCACACCTGCGTTGGTGCTCCATCGTGCGTTGTTCAATTCCTCAGCACGTCACAGCATGTCATTAAGCATTTTGCCATTACTACATTAAATTAAATCCATATCGAGACCACAGAAAGTCACAGTCGATCAAATGTGGCTTGAAATTTACACAAAGAAAGGCAGCCAGTCTTTTAGGTAAACAAACAAATGATAGCTGAAAGTTACCTCAGCTAACGTTGCTAGTCTAGGCTTCTTCAGCTCATGTCTTTTAGCTCGAAAATCTGTAAAGAGGTGGTAAACTAATGCCAAGTGTGGTAAGTCATGCTGAATGCTTTTCTGTCATTCAATTTATACAAGTATAAATAAATGCACTGTAAAAATGATTTATCGGCTATTCCTGCAATCTGACGCCGTGCAAGTGCCGTAGGTGCCAGAATGTACCTGCACCATTTAAGGTTGAACTGGAAAATTCAAACAAGAAGTTGGCAAAGAACTTTAGTTTTGTAATTTTAATGCTGGAGATTTAAGCCATCTAAACATCCTACCTAGAATTTTATGTACAGAGCTACCTTCCTGAGTACCTGCCGGTTTTGCTTGTGTGCGCAGTCCTGCGGGAGACAATTATTTCTTTATCAGATAACAACTGTACTTTAAATCCCTGAGCATAAGAAGGTGATTATAAAGTCTTATCCCTTAATGAACTGGACACTTTCAGCTACAGTGGCTTTCATTTAATATTTCAAATGTTGCAACATCATATCTAATCATCATCATCATAAGCCTACAATACTTTAGCACACATCAGCAAAGGTGAGTACAGCTGCTCAAACAGAAAAAAATCCAGTTGTGGCAAGATACACCCAGTTATGCACTACACAATGATGAAAACAGGTTGTTGACCAGTCACTGGAAAGTCCGCCAGCAGTAGGAAATCTATAATTTGCAATTCAGAAAAACTGCCATCACTGAACAAACTCATTGACCCTTAACCCACTGAATCATCAAAGAGAGAGAGGAAAAAAGTGACAGTCAGCAGAATGAGTAAGAGCAGACGTCGCCTGATTTCTGGCCTCCAGACACTTTTTGTTTTTCCTCTTCTTTTCTTTCCTTTTTTTGGATTAGACTGTATTTTTAGTAATATGTCTATTCCACCAGGGGGCCTCACAGAATAATTCAGCCTGAGCTGACCTTCACCCTGGCCGTTGCTTACGCACAGCTGTTAACTCAGTATGACATGCAGTATGATGCACATCCGTGTGAATTCAAGGGCTTTCTTTAAACGGACAGTTCAGGCAAGAAATACATGTGATAATTTTCCTCGTTAAACCAAATGTAGTCAATCAGCCAAGACGTGTTTGGTGTCTGAAATTAGCTTCTTTAGTTTTGCACCGGAGGTGAGTGATGATTAAGGCAAGTGTTTTTATGTATGCAGTTTAACCTGGCTACATTAGCCTCACAGCTCCAGTGCAAAACTAAAGAAGCAAACTTCAGACACAATTCAGCCTGATTTGGGATTCGCAGTAAGGAGGAAACTGTGTGCATTCGATTCCTCACTAAACTATTCCTTTAAAGAAAAAAGATTCTGATCATTCCGTTCATCTGCAGTCTAAGGGTAAGAAAACAGAGCAACGATCCCCAATCTGGACAGTCCAGGTCACCCTGTCACTCTTGATAATGAAGACATCAGTGGAAGTTTGGCATAGCAGAACAAATCTGTTTTTCTATCTATCTGTAAATCAAAATGGACTAGGGTTTGTGTCTGGTGACATATATTTGTAACACGGTAACAGCCCCTAATAACGGTAAAAAATAAAAAAGTTGTTCATTTATGGATTTATTTAATGCAAACCATAGCAAAAAAGCAGTGTTCCCACATGTAAACATAACAGAATTTTACTTAAGTTAAAGTTAAATTGTTCTAGTAACACAGCTGCGCTGGCTAAACAGCTGTCATTCATGGGAAAAACAGATTGTTACAAATGGCCTCAGACAAAATGGCTTCAGAGAAGAAGGTAAAGGGCTGAGCTAAGCAGCCAAAAACCTTCAGACGGTAAGGTCTGTGTGCTTTTCACAGTTCCGCACTTTCTTACTACACCAATTACAACCTAAGTAAAGACGATGGTGTACTACAACCACAACGTTTACTGACACAACTTTTTTTCTTAATTAAGACACAACTCAGGTGGTATGGCT